AGAAGTTAAGGAACTTGTCTGTGGTCACACAGCTAGAAAGTGACAAACTTCTCCAGACAGTTTGGTTCAAAAATTTATGTTATTTGCTATTGCACTGCAGCCACACCTGGCAGGATCATATAGCCCAGAAGTGGTCTTCTGTAAAGGTTGCACCATTTACACCTCTGGTTAACCATACATCAAGTTATTTATCCAGAAGAAATGAAAGCATATGTCCACAAAATGTCTGGTATAAAAATGTGTGTTGCTACTTTATTTATAAACATAAAAAATAGAAAAAAGCCCAATATCAAGTAAGAAATAAGTAATCAAATCTAGCATATTCATACAATGGACTGTTACTCAGCAAAAAAAAAAAAAAAAAGGAATGGAATGATATACAATGAAATATCTGAAAAAATGTTATGCTGAGTGAAAGAAGCCAGACACAATGATTCCATGTATATGAAGCTAACGAAGAGGCAAATCCATATGGATAAATGTTAGAACAATGATCACTTCTGAGCAGGGGGAAGGGACTTGAGTCTGGGTGATGGTAATGCTCTGTATTTTGATTGGTCAAAAATCATTGCCTTGTGTATTAAACATTGATGCATTTTCTTGTGTGTATTTGTACCTCACTTATACACACAACACATACAGTAAAACTTAAAGTTCCCTTCTTCTCTAATCTTATTCCCTTTCCCGGTGTCAACCGTTGTTTATAGACTGGTGTGGCATTTCCAGAAATTTTGATTTCCATGCATATGAGTATATACACATAAAAATAAACTTTTATATTTTAATGTGAATAAGATCAGATGATGTATATTGTTCTGCTACCTGCTTTTTTTTCAGTTAATAACATGTCTTGAAGGTTTTTCATTTGTTCTTAATTTTCAAAGCTAGCCTGACACCATATTATGAACACAATTTTTTTCAGTCAATTTCCTTCTGATAGAAAGTTAGGTATTTTTCAAATTTTCACTTTTAACAGTTCTAATGAAAATGTATTTATATAAATATTTGTGCATGTGTGCAAGCATTTTTGTAGGCTTCTTTCCTAGAAGAAGGATTTGTTGGGAAAAAGGTATGCATACTTTAGTGGATACTGCCAAATTGGTTTCCAAAAATGCTTTTGTGAATTCTACTCCTCCTTCCCATGTATGAGAAGTGAATTCCTGAATCCTCTCCAACAATGAAKATTATCAATCTTTTAAAGTTTTTGAGTACAGATGGGTAATAGCATCTTATTTCTGCTGAGATTTAAAAATAAATTTTTATTTTCTACTTTATGTAAAAATATACACAAATCCTTGGGGGACTGTCCAGTACTCCCAGCAGTGTAATTCTGGAAGTGTCACCAGCAAGTTAGAGACCCATTTTCTAATTTTAATTTGACAGATTACTCTAGTGAAAATAGCTAAAGTCTGTTCTCTCTGGCATTCTTTCTGAACCATTGTTGACTTTATGTTGTAATTTTTAAAAATTTTGTTCAAATTCCTTAATGGTGGCTAAATTTTGAAAAGTGACATAACCTGTTTTATGAAACTGCTTCATAAAGCTAGTCAGTTTAAGTCAAACATTGAACACTGACTTTACCATCATATTTTTCAACTATCCCCTCCCCAATCATTGCTTTTATTATTATTTTAATTTGCATTTTGGATATGCTTTTAATGGTGTTTCCTTGGAGAAAAACTCCTTCCAAAGAATGCCTGCCCCCCCCCCAAACAGGAAGCAGATCAGTTTTGAGTGGAAGCTTGGAACTGCCCAACTTGCTAACTGAGTGGGAGTTTGGAAAGAGGTACAAATGATAGTTTCCTCTAGGGCAATACAGCAAGAGAGTGCTGTGGTCTACACTGCTAGAACCCTACTGGATTTTGGAGATAGCTAGGGACTGTATTAAGTTTGGCATGTTGATTTTATTCAGTGTGGGTTTACTTCTGCAGGTGGGGAGAGATATAGAGCCTAATAGGTCACTTGCAAATTTCATTATTGGAAATTCTGAGGTTGTTACTAGGAAGTCCCTGTGGTCATTTTTTTCACTGAGTATCACTGGGCTTTTGGGGAAAGGCAAAGAGATCTAATATTTTAAAATTTCCTGAGTCCTCACCTGCCTCCCCGCTAAATTGCCATTTCAACCTCTGCTTCAGACAACATTAGGGTTTCCCTGAGGGATAACCAAGAGAAGGGCTATTTAGTAGCTAAGGCTCTCCTCAATATTTGCTCACTATTCCCTACCCTAGCCATTCCATCCCTTGCCTCTTGTCTACCTCTGCAAATCAATTCATTCCCTTTTTGGTTTTCAAGGATGCTTTTTTTTTTTTTTTTTTTTTTTTAGCTACACATGACAGTACAATGATCTTGACAGTTCATACATTTGAATCAAATGGGGTATAATTTCTCATTTTTCTAATTGTACAAGTTGCAGAATCACATTGGTCATATAGTCACCTATGTACATACAGCAATAATAAAAAGGGTTTGACTGCCAGGGATATTTAAAAGTCTCAGAAATATGTTGGAAGCACAAAGGAGTGTGTGTACTTGATAGGTAGCTATTGGTAGTCACGTGTACAAAATGATGATTCTGATCACCTTGTTGTGTATTGATCCTAATTGGCCACATCCTAAGCAGTGCTACTCAAAACACAACTTTTCTTTATGAATTCCTGGTGTCTCAAGAAACAGTTGGGAGGGCTGGGGTTGTAGCTCAGCGGTAGAGCACTTGCCTTGCATGTGTGAGGCACTAGGTTCAATCCTCAGCACCACATAAAAATAAATAAAATAAAGGTATCATGTCCATCTACAACTAAAAAAATCAAAACAAAACAACAATAACAACAACAAAAAGAAAGAAAGAAAGAAAGAGTTGGGAAATGCTGAAAAAGGCCTCCCTCATAGTGTCAGAACTGACAATTTTTTTTAGCCTCTCATTCTTAATTCAGGAAAGCTTTAAGGAATACATGGACTTGGAGTTTGTTTGTTTTCATTTTGGATTGGGAAAACACTGGAGTATCCTTGTTCTCAGGTTGAGTGTTCACACTGCTTTGAGAACTTCCTGGGATTCTTTATGCAAATGATATTTCTAATGATGATCCATTTTATTTTGTCACTGGCACTTGGTGAAGGGAGAGATATTTAGCAGTTGGTTCTATTTGATGGTATGATCTAAACAAATAAAATGTATTTCTTTATAAAATTTCCTCTAATTAGGCAATCTCACTAACCATATGATCTCTTTATCATATCCTATTTCTGGGATGTGGCCATATTTTCCTAAGTAAGTGGAAAATGTGCTTGCCCTGCTCAAGGCAAGCTTTAAAAATACTATCCTCATTCAATTAGGAAGCAAGAGGTCATTCCTAACATCTTAAGAGTAATCAAAAAATAATTTTCTGAAAGCAGACCTGTGTGTTGAGTTGGTGATTTCATCCATGTGCACCACTATGTTGAGCAACAGTAGAGAAGATAAAAAAAATTATGCAATACAAATAGGGACCAAGGAGAGGGTTATTTGATTTTGCCCATATTCTCCTAAGTCCACTGAAAACACTTATATCACTGCTTCAGTTGATACTGGAAATATTTCTTAATGAGCCCAAGTGTTCAGAAATACTTATTAGCAGGAGTCCTGATAGAGGATTGTTCCACTTGGTAAACAGTTATCTTGAACTTCATTTTCTTGTGGTGGGAGGGAGTGGGGACTGCATAATTTTATGAGGACTGGAAATAAAGAGTTTCTTATGGAGAATGCTTTTTATTTTCTTTTTAATTTTTTCAGTTTGACACGTTTGCTGTTTATCATCTAGTTCTCATCTTGTTTGTATTTCCAAAAGAGCAGTGGTCTCCATACACTTGTCTCTGGAGTCAGGGCTCAGTCACAGTGACTGATGTAGCAGTGCTAGGGAAATGGGGGTGAAGGGATTAAGAAGGACCTCAAATGACTGGGCTCTTTGGCCCTCCTCTTTTGGAATCACTGCTCCCAAGCCCTCTCTGTTGCCCTCCTGCCTCCTCATGTGTTGGATTAGATTTATAACAGCTGCCGTGGACATGGTTGCCTAAATCTGTGGAATGTTTTGCTAAATGCTGCTGGTGAAATAGTCCACATTAAGCCTGTAACTCCTGTTTTCTTATTTTTAACCAGTCCTTTATTAGTCTTTAACTCACTTGATCACTTTATGATTTTACACTTGACATCCTATAGATTCATTAAGATCTTTTAGTCCAAGCACCAGGGCTCTATTTAACATTATGATTAGCCAAGCTGTTATTCTGTTTGAGCTAAGTGTTGACAGTGTATTTGATTGGAACCCTGTAATTGTTATTTTAAAATCAGAGTAATGGATTATGATCTCAGAATAAGAATATGATCCAAAAGAATAATAATAATTAGAACAGAAACCACTTAGAAGAAAATAAATGTCCCATCACAGAACCACAGGGCCCCATGTGCCAGGCCCACCTACCTTTGCAGTCTTGCCCTCCCTGTGGACCTCCCATTACTTGAAGCATCCACTTCTTTCCTATCTTGGGAATTGCTTATGCATTTGTTCTCTTTACCTGGGGAGCTCCTTTACTCATGTTTCTCTTGGTTAGCTCCTTTGAGTCTCAATCACAGTCTCTTTTCCTTAGAGAAACCTTCCATGGACTCAACAATGTTTAAATTCATCTCCTCCCACCCCCAACACCTGTTCACATCATCATCTCTCACAGCATGCTATTTGTTTCCTTAAACATTAGGAACCATAATTTGTGTCCCCTTGGTACTTGTCTTTCTTGCCCTTTGGACTCTAAACTCCGTGAAGCTGCAGACCTGTCCCATTCAGCACTGAAGCCCCACTATCACCCTGACACCTAAAACTCAATTCATATTTGTAGTTGAATGAACAGAATATTCTGAGGTCCTGGCTTTTTTCTGAGTCCACACAGATATTTTGTTCTTAGTAATAAATCTATTCTGACAACATTTGCTTTTCAGTAGTTTAATATAACCAAGTTGTGCTGGTTTTTCTCAGGCATATGAAGGATCAGAATAAGAAGGTAGCCAACCTCAAACACAATCAACAGCTGGAAAAGAAGAAGAATGCCCAGTTATTGGAAGAAGTTCGCAGGCGAGAAGATAGCATGGCTGACAACTCACAGCATTTGCAGGTAAGCCTGGGTTTATGTTCTTAATCCCTAAATAATTGGAGACTAACTGACTCTGGAATGTAGACATTGCTACAGGAAAATATGCAGAGAAATGGTAAACTTGCCTTTGCTCTGACATCAGAGTTATCAGTATACTCCCAGGGACCTGAGAGGTCTTTCCATGTATAAAGCATCATTTTCAAAATGGTGCCCAAGAAAGCAGCTTATGATGGAGTTTAGAAATGCTATGCAGAGTCTGATGGTTCCTGTACCTTGCCTTAAAAGGTAAGAGCTACTTTTCTATATTTGGCAAGAATCTTAAAGCATAGAAATGGCTTCCTTTTTTAAAATTTATGTTTTAAGTTGTTTTAGGGTTAGTAGAAGGGAAGTGTATGTGCATTATCATGGAGGTGTTTGAGAAAGGATGCATTCCTCTGATCTCAGACAGTTTACAAAACTGGTTTTATTTTGCTCAAAACTCTGAGGCTCTGAGATAGATCATTGGTCTGTTTTCTCCATGAATATAGTTATCTCTCAGTGACATCCCTGTCTCAGAGACCAACCGACTGGCTGAAAACAACAATTTTTCCTCATTAACCATCCCTATTTTTGGCAAAGGAGTTCTTCCCATATGCTCAATAAAACATTCAAGCTAACACAGGGCATTTGCTTTGAAGTTCCTTTATTTATTCCAGTGTGCCTTTAAACAGAGCAGTTCTAGTTCGACTTGGCTGCTGTTCATGTTAAATTTTGCTTATTAATTAGTGTCTTTCTTCAGTTATATATTAGGTTTCCTCCTTGGAGATAGAAGAAGTTAGATAATTTCAATATGTACTCATAGTTCATCTTTTTAATTGACCAAAAGAGAAATAAATAATTATTCCAGAGTAGGAAATACAAGGAAGCACGTGGCAGATGGAGGTTATTTAGTCAACATTAATTTATTTTTTCTCTGTGTCCTGGTCATGGCATAATGGTGTCATATGAGCTCCCTTTGCCTGTGTGTTTGAATAGAGTTTTTACACAATAGCACAATACTAGGATCAGATCCTCTATTGAGTGCTCAGGTCACCCTAGCATGGATCATGTTCACTTGAGGTCACAGCTTCTTCAATGCTCTTGACAAATCAAGAGTTGGGTTTGGGGTCTTAGTTTCCCAATCTCTGATAAGAGATATTAAATTGGAGCTTAAAAATTGAGATAATAATAACTAAAATTTGTAGAATATTTTCCTGCTTTTTTCAAGCATGTTTTCATTTATAACAATGTTGGTGATTTTGCATGTGGTGAAACTAGTGTCCCAGAAAAGTTTTGAAATGACATCCTAGTAAAGAGTGAAGGTAGACCTGACTCCAAGGCTTTTCTGCTTTCAAAAAACAAATGCAGAGAAAAAAAGTGACAGTGGTAGGTACCGTTTTTGAAATATGCTGGACACTGTGCTAGGTACTGTATAGTAGCTGTTATCCCATTTCAGTTTTATGTCAGTCAGGACTCCTAAGTGCAAATGACAGGACCAAAACACAATCTGTATTAAGAAAGAGAGAAAAAAAACAATTAATTCACTGCAAAATCCAGGGAAAGATTTTCATCTTGACTGAATTCAGATTTCCAAACAGTGACATCAATAATATGTTTCCTTCCTACTTGGAGGATGATTTAATCTATTGCCTGGGATCCTCAGGAAATCTTTCCACAAATAATGCCCAACACCAGCCAGCCTACCACCTAAGAATTTAATCACTCCAGGACAAAGGAAAGTAGCTCTAGTAGTTCTAACAAGCTTTTGAGATTAGGACATATAAATTGACAGCTCAGGTTCAGGCCATGTGATCATGAGGAGCCTAAGGGAAAGGGGTCAGCTTCATCTAAATCCTATGTGCTAAGAGTGGAGACAGATGACCTCCCACAGAGAAAAATAAGTCCTGGTATCTGAAAAGGTTCTGTGCAGATAAAACTACAGAGGTTCACTGCAGCCATTATATGGTAGATGAACAATTATTATCCCATTTGGTATATTAGAAGAAGGAGACTATGAGAGATAAAATAACTTTCAAAATTATTTATCTAATAAGTGGCAGACCCAGGACTTAAACCTGTATGTGACTATCATTAGATGATGAGTTTTCTGAAGAATTAGGAATGCAGGAAAACCGAGTCTTCATGGATCAGGTAGAATTTGAGCCAAATGAGTTTGAGATGAGAGAGACAAGTGGTAGGGAAGGCCCTACAGGAAAGAGAACCATCGGAAAAGGTACAGAAGTTGATAGAGCATGGTATAATCTGGGCACAAAACATCATGAATCAAGTGATTGGGGTGCAGTTTTCAGTTAGGTAAGCATTGTCCTTATCTTTGTTTAACTAACTCTGGAACTAAAATGCCTGAGTTTCACTCCAAGCTTTAGAATTCACTGAGTGTCCTTAGGAATGTCACTAAACCTCCCAACATCTCAGTTTCCCCATTTGTAGAACAGGAATAATAATTACACCTATTGCAGAGTTGTTCTGAGGGCTACAAATTAAATGTATACGAGGAATTTAGAATTATACTTGGCATAGGCTATGCTCAGAATAAGTATTGATGATCATTCTTATAATCACAGGGAAAGGTGAAAGAAGCATTTAAATAGAGTTTTCTAGTACATGCAGGATATTTACATAGTTATACTTGGGTAGGCATTAAGCATCAAAGTCTTTGTCTTTTCTATATATAGTAATTTTTTCTCTTCTAAGGACGCATCTAGTTATGGAAATTAATGTCTTGTTTTGGCCCGTGAACTTTCACATAGCAATATTTTCATAAGGAGCCTTGATAACTACCTTGTAGACCTATTCATAAAAGATAGCATGGTCTGGAATTGCTTAGTTGCATTCCTGACCACCCCAAACAAAGGATAACATTTGAAATGCAATAAAAAGTAATCATGATTAATTTTGATGAAAATGTCTCTGGTTAAGGTTAATAGAGACTGAACCTCCCACTTGAATGGATTGTTAAGCAGATGTGCTCAGATGCAGTAATTATTGCCTTCTGAGAACAGAACTTTCTGGAGGCCCTTGACTTTTAACATTACTGTTGTTTTAAGTACTTCCTGTTTATAAGTTTGCCTGTTAATCCCTTTAAGTATCAGTCTACTAGGATTTAGTCTGGTTAGTTGTTTGGCTGGTGGTTACACGTTTGGCACCTGCTAAATTTGATTTATTCATCACTGGTGATTTTAAATGATCAGATACCCTATCTTTATGATTTCAACCAACCAAATGGTATTATAACTATAAAAATATCAGGAAAAGTATTGCCTACAAAAATAATAGCTATTGGATTAGGCTTCAAAGGAGAGCTCAAAGAGATTCAACTAGTTGGCATGGAAATTGGGAACAAGTTGAATGATAGAGTGACCATGCTATTTATTGTTTCAAGTAGAACATGATGGCAGTAGGAAGAAACTGGGCCAGCTCTGTCAGCCCTAGATATATAGTCATGTATGATATGAAACATTTTGCAAATCCTACTTTATTTCTTTCTTAAGTTTATAGTTTTATGGCAGGAGTTGCAAACTCAAATACCTTAAACGTCTACATTGTTAACATAAGAAACATGTGAAACATGTGAAAAAAATAATATCTGATTCCTTCAGCCATTTTTTTTTTTTTTTACTTTTGGTAGAGACATGTCAGTTAGTAATTCCATCAACTGCTATGTAACCATCACTCCAAAACTACTTTACAACCAACTCAGTGGTAGTAACTTATTCTACCAGATTTGCAGGTTGACCGAGCAGCTCAGTTTCTGGAGGGTGGCCTTGTTGGGCACTTCTGCTACTCAATGCACATCCGTGGGAAGTTAGGGCAGCTCTGTTTTACATATGTTCATTCATTCTGTAACTTAAGCTGAGGAAGCATCAGTGACCCAGGAAAGTTCTAATGATAGTAGCAGAGTAAAACATGCAGAGTAACAGAAGGCCTAGTCTTGAACTGACACTGTGATTTCTACCCCATTTCATTGGCTGAGCCAAGTTTGGAAAGTTCGCTCTACAGGCAGAGAACACTGTAAAGGGACAGATACAAGGATGGGTAAAAAAATTGAGACCAATCATTCAATCTATCAAAAAAGATAAAGTTTGGGGAAATGTTTCTCTATTACAGGAAAAGCAACAGAATAATCATAATGAAAAATTTCAGTTGTGGTTGGCCCTAGCAGGGCCATTTTATTCCCCATTTGCCTACATAATTGAGGGCAAATGGGGAATTAAGGAACTCAAAGAGTCCATGCTTCATCCAAGATAGTAGGAACCACTAAGCTCTGGCTGCACTTTGCTGTAAAAGTGGACCTAGGGTTGTGGGACCTTCTGATTGTCCAAGATAAGTCATTTAATGTGAACATTTATGTGGAATCTGATATTTGAGAAAGTTGGTTCAAATTTTTTTTTAAAACATTGCATGATTACAGTCAGCCACATATGCATATAAATTGCTTTGTTTTGTGGCCTGTTGCACATCAGTCTGATCCCTCTGAATTCAGAAGGTATAAATAAGGAAATTAAGAATGCTCTTTAGCTAATTCAACTTGACTAATTAAAGAATAGTGACAGGTTAGTATTTGTCCTGAGTCCTGTTTTTGTCAAAAAATACCTTGTGTTATTGCTTATCAGAGGCAATTACCCACAATCTGTAGGGATAGAGAGTGTTCTTGATTTTTTGTGTTTGTGTTTTGTTTTTTGTTTTTTTGACCCCCTGAGCATTGTAAAGAAAATAGGAAGGGAAGGATAAAGAGCTATGGAGTTGAAATGTTCAGAGTTCAAGTATTGGCCCTTGTTACTATTATCCGAGGGCCCTGAGTAAGGCAGAGAACCTCTCTGACCCTTACTTTCTTCATCTGTACATGGGATTATAATTTCTACCTCCCTGGATGAGTTTAATAAAATGAGGTTTGAGGAAAAAGCTGAGTACAGTCCCTGACCTGTGTGGAGTTCAGTTACTAGAGCTTTTTCCCAGAGAGACTGGTAATGAGCTTTTAACTACAG